TCAAAAAGGAAGGTTCATTAGAAAACTCTAAATGAATTAGAATCAATTCTGATTTCAATACTGAGGTTCAATCTCTGAATATTAAGAATTATTTAAGTATGTTCTTTAAAAAGATTCATTTTGTACAATAGATTTAAGAATGAGAAAGCAAGCACTAAGATATACTTAAAGTAGGATAATACAAAGAGAAATGAAGACAGTGTTGTGCAAGTCTCCTATGCAAAGAGAATGTGCTTGCTTTGGAAATCATATTTGTAATCCTAGTGTTTAGCTGATCAAGACCACTCTCCTCAAGCATTGGTGGGAAATCTTCAACTGTCTCAACTAAATCGTAGGTCCTACTGATATTTATGAAGTGTAGTACAAGGCTAAATGGAAAGTATTTGGAGTTGTAATAATCTTCTAAGGGAAAAGGGTTTGCTTACTTTAAAGTCAATATACAAATTCTTAGTTTTTTTTTTATCTAGGTTAGAAATATACAATTATTAGCTGAGCTACCTGTTTACACCAGGTAAAAGGACAGGATTATTACTGTCCTTATTCATGCATGTCAAAGTTTGCTTTCAGCAACACCAGTCTATGGGCATTATTTGCGTTTGCAGTATGTGTGTAAAAATTAACATATAAGTAAAAATATATCTGTAAAAAGATGATATAAATAAATTTATTCAATTTATCCAATCTTAACAATATCAAAATAATTACAACCATATCCAAAACTGTTGTAACCTAGGAAAAAGTTACTGAATAAGAATAACCAAAATGAAGCTTGGAAATGGAACAATAATATTTATAACAGGAATAACATACAAGATTTGCCAGCAACATGTAGTAAGTAATCAACTGCTAGTGGTGAGCTAGAAGTAAATCAAGATGAATCAAAAGTGAATCCCACAGTGAATCAACATACAGTATATTCTACTGTATTTATATGAATTGGGACATACCCATTATAGTCCATAGGTACAGTATAACAAAAACTATTATGGATATAATCAGAACCAAAAATATCCATAATAATAATAATTCTGAAGCTGGTATATATAAAATAAACTTTAGCAATTTATTAAATGTATTACTCATACATAGAAATAAATACAACCATAACTTCAATCTAAAGAATACTACACTTATTAAAAGAAAATGTAACTTACTTAGATGGAAAATTCTTGAATGATGTCATTGAAGCTTGTCTAAATATAAATCTGTGCCCTGGATTTTTTCAAATATCTCTTTTCTTAAGAGAAACAATCCTTTCCCAAGCCAGCATACATGACTGTAGTTATTTTTAAAATTGAAAAATAAATTAATTTCTCAAAATAAAATTAATTTAAATAATAATTATAAAAAAAAATAGAACAACATTTACTCACTTTTGTTTATTAGGAATTAAATTACATAACTTAGCATTGTCCATAATTTATCTTGACTTTCAGTTAGCCTGAAGTATGTTTAGAAGCATTCTTAAATTTAAAAATTCCGAAAAACTAACAACATTTTTACTTCTGTTTATAAATACTTGCTGCAAAATAAAATCCTTACATTTGCCTTGATAAAGTCCATCAAAGGTAGAAATGTGTTGGCTAAAATAAGTTTTCCTCCTTTTGTTTATATATATATATATATATATATATATATATATGATAAAAAATATAGTTTTGAGGTATGATATATTTATGAGTTAAATCTGTTCACTATCAGGGATAAAGCATATATAAATATAACAATATAAAAATGGACATTGAAATGTCCACATATATATATATGTATTAGCTGGTCACTTGTATTCGAGGATACCTGTCTATTAGGGTGGCTAGCCAATCCCTATTGTAGATGCTTGCTCAGGCACATTTGTGTTTGTTCAACACCAACAGAGCCAACCCTTGGTCATGATGACTTGTAACTTTGTGGTAGTACAGCTATTGACAGCCCTTAAGGGTTCTGTTTACCCAATTTCACTCACAAGGCTTGGGTCAACCCGTGGTATGGTTTTCAGACACTTTCCCAAGGTGCTGCATGCTGGGATCATCCCCTGTCCAGACTGATAACATCAGGAAGTCTCCTTCCTGACAAATCAACCATGGTGAGATTCGAACCTGGGCCTCATGCTCATAAAGCGAACATTCTAACTACTTGGCCACCCACACACACACACACATATATATATATATATATATATATATAATATTTATTTAAAAATTATAATATATGTATGTTATAACATCACTACAAAAATACCCATTTTACATACATACACAATAATTAGTAGCATCAAAGAACAACAAATAGATTTCATTTGTTCCTGGTAAGTTTCCAATGAAAAAATACAAAAGGAAAAAATATATTTTGGGAGAAATAATGTTTTGTGAACTTGCTTTTTTGAAGCACAAAAATATTCTTCTAGTCCAGGCATTAATAATGAAAATGAAAATATAACATTGTCCTGAATGCAATTGTTATTATGAAAGATAAATGAACACAAGAGAAAATAAACCTCTCTTTTCTAACGAGGAACAAAAGATTTTTTTTATGGTAAAACCTCTACACTGGATCAAATAAGTATTATGATGTTTGGAAAGTAATTACTTATTTCACTGCTGTGAATTATAGCTAAGGTTGAATGGTAGATAACTGAGTCTAGAATTAGTTTATCATCACTTCTATTAAGGTGTTCAGAAATTAATTTCATTGCTATATGAATTAGAAGTTAAACAACCAAAATAGATCCAAGGTTGAATGGTAGAAAATGCCATCTAGAATTAGTTTATCATCACTTCTATGAATGTGTTTGGAAAGTATTTACAAATTTCACTGCTATGAATTACAAGTCAACCAAACAAGATAGAACCAAGGTTCAATGGTAAGAATCTGTTTTTAGAATTAGTTTATCATCTCTTCTATGAGGGTGTTCAGAAAGTAATTACATATTTCACTGCCATGAATTATGAATCAAATAATCAAGGCAGAACCAAGGTTGAATAGTAGGTAACTGCATCTATAATTACTTTACCTTTTCTATCTGACAGTTTATCATTTATAGTTAATTTCATAGATTAATCCCATGGAGGATGATTATAACTTTAAAAGTAACATATTTGTGATTGTTTACTGTATGAAATTTCAAAAGGATTATTCTACTACAGTGGCATTTAAAAACATTTGTATTGGGTATACAGATACAGTGAAGGCTTGTAAATATCAGCTGCTGTTTAAAAGGTATAAAAATGGCGATTATGACATATCCCGTAAGCTGAAAGATAAACCACTCTGAATGAAAAACTTTTGAAAAAAGTCTATTGAATCAGATCTATGTCAAAATACCAGAGCTTTGGCACAAAAAATTAATGTGTCATGTTCAATTGTCCATGAACATTTCGAGCAAATTGGGAAACCTTGTAAGGAGGGAATTTGGATTCTTCATTAGCTTTTGCTCAAGAACCGAACACAATGTTTCACTTTCTGCGGTAATCTATTAACCAGGAATGCCAATCTTTCATTTTTGCATTGCATTCTTAAAGGTGATGAAAAATGGGTTTTGCATGTCAACAGCAAACAAAAAAAGACAGTGCGTATCATAATGAGTAACTACACCAAAACTAGGAATCCATCCACAGAAGTCCTTGCTTTATGCCTGTTGAAATATGAAAGATGTCGTCCATTACGAGTTCCTTGAACATGGAAGGACCATCACTGGAGACATTTATTACCAGCAATTTGATTGGATGAAGCATTACACTGAAAATGTCTTACTTTAGTAAAACAAATGATGTTATTCTCCATTTTGATAATGCAATGGCTCACTCTATAAAACAAACCCAACAAAAAAATAATATTGTTAGGATGGGAGATTTTTTTCTATCTCTCACCAGATTTCTCACCTACGGTTTCATTTGTTCTGATCACTGGAATATTTCAATAGTGCCAGGAACAATGAAGTTGAAAATGATCTTTCAAAGATTTTTCGGAGAAATACCCAGATTTTATTATATGTGGAATAACAAATTTGCTTTCCTGTAAGGTTGCAAAATGAAGTGGGTTAAATTTTTCATAATCTACATTATACTAAAAATATAATCTTGTGTGTGTGTGTGTGTGTGTGTGTTCCCCAAGATACAGCTTAAATGATACATAATATCCTAATCAATTTAGTTTCATGGGACATCGCTTACATAGGCTAAGCCAGTCATGTGATGTAGGAGTGTGGGCAGTTTGACTTGTGTGGACTTTAAAAAATTGACAGACAGCCTGGGCCAGTACCCAATGTATACATATCAAACATAAACAGAAAAAAGCATTATAGTGTTAATACTTACACTCAATTTTAGTGAAAACGTGTTGTTGATAACTTTTTTTTGCCAGTGCATCAAAGTCTGGTGTTAGTTTTGTTGTGCCAAGTCTCAGAACAGATCTGAGGTGTTCATCAGTATAGGAAAATTAGTGAATGACTTGTTTGACATTTGCTTTGAGAATAAAACATGCTTGGTTTTGATGGCTCTGGTGTTAGTGTACATTTCATGCACAAACTGGTCTTTCCCTTGTAGCTTCAATGTTCATCTCATTCATGTGTGTCAGTATATCCACAGCAAAAGCTAAATCACAAAGCCAATCTGTGTCACACAGCTCATGAAAACCGTCAGCTTTCTCAAGTAGCTCCAAAAATGAGATTATCTCTTGTTTGAGCTCCCACACTTGTTGACATACTTTCCCCAAACTTAACCAGTGGACATTGGAGTGATAAAGCAAGTCCTGGTGATTGGTATTAGTTTCTTCAAGAAACTTAATAAACTTAATGTTAGAGTGAGAAGACGCAATGCATTGTTCCCCTGGAGGTTAGCATCAACCATGCTGATGGAAGGTAAAAAAGGTTCTCTAAGGCAATTAAAAGAGAGCAATTTCTTTTTGGTGGCATTAAAATTAACAATATATATATATATATATATATATATATATATAGTGGGGGGAGTTTTTGAGTAAAAAAGGAAAAGTTGGCTCCAACTTACTGTCTGTGTCTTCAGTAGAAGTTAACATATGAACAGGTGTTGGGCGGATTATTGAAGAAGAGTATGCAATTGATTTGTTTGGTTTGTCTGTCATCAATATAGGTTCTGGGTTTTGATCTTCTCTCATCTGAAAAAATAGAAGACAAGAAATTCAATCCAATAGTATCAATTCATTAAATGTAATAACTTTAAAACTAGCTTCAAAACAGTAGAACATTTAAGTATCTGACACAGGTTGAGATTGCAAATACTGACAAAATTTGCTTCCCACATCAGAAAAACTGCACAGCCCCGTCAAAAAATTTTGAATTTTTAGTGAGAACAATGCAACCAAAAACCACTTGCATGATATTTTATAGTGATGGTAGGGAATAAATTCAAAGCCTTAATCCAAGGTGCTGTCATAAATTCAAGCATTGATGAACTTATTTGGGATGAGATCTAAATAATAGAGATAGTATACAAAGAAAAATACTGGCAATAAATTGAGAAAAGGCTGCATCAACCAAATCAATAATCACCAATACCAAAATTTAGAACTATTCATAGTAGCTGTGTCTAACTTCAACAAAATGAATTATACATTTGAGGAAGATGAAAAAATACACTGACTGAAATGGATTTATAAAAACAAACAGCAACAAGAATATTAATTTGAATAACACATGGATTTAACATATTGCAGTCATCCAAAATGTTTATCAAAAATATATATCTGGAGAATAGTTAGCACTACCATAACAAATTGAGATTACTTGCTTTTCTTTTAACTTTGCTCTGAACATTTGCTACCAATAAATATTGAGAATACCATGAACAGAACCTATGACAGCTGAGGAAGTTTTGAGAAGAATAATAATAGTAATAAACCATAAAGAAGCTTGCTAACAATCAGTAAAAAGACAACTGAAATTGTTGAGCCACTTAAGGGTACATTAAAAGAAAGAAGAAAAATTGTAATGGGACAAGTATTGTTGAGAGCAAACAAAAGATAGGAAATTGTGGAGAGTCATTACTGCTCATGTCATGATGGGGCATGACATACAACAGATGAGCATTTTTTGTATATAATAGTTTGTAAAACAATAAAGGTGAGTTATATTTGAATCACACAAAATTATTTTGGGAATCATGAAATGTACTGTATCTTCAATGATACATGTAGCAGACATTTTTAAAATTATTTTAAATATAATATTAACCAATATAATTTTAAATAACTTTTAGAGTACAATTATCCTAAAGTTGCGGAAACCAAGAATGCATAAGTCTTTATATTTCTAAAATGTTAGATCATTTCAAAATGTATTTTCTAGAAAACAATAACCTGCTAACAAGAATAAAATATTTATGTTTCTACCATGACTTTATAGGAATGAAATACTATATATATATATATTTTTAACCAATAAAATCCCATCAGAAGCTCTGTTTGATAAATAATCATTACAAGGCATATACTGCCAAAATACTTGTGGATGTACTTGTAGACCTACCACATGTTATTTTTTAACCATTTAGAAAATAATAATTCCCTTCACCACTCCCACAAATTTGAGAAAAAGATTTTTGCAAGCCAGTGTGAAATTATTTTCTAACTAATGAAAACCTTGTATTCAAGAAGTTTACACCTCTATGGGAAATTAGATTTTGAATCCCCTTACTGATATAAAAATAGAAGCATAATGCTTCTCAGGATTCAAAACAATTCCAGAGGCCAATTTGGTCTACATGCACGTATGTGCACACAATGGAAGAGAGACAGCCAGCAGCCGACAACTAAGGACTTGTCCATGCACACAATAAAAAGTATTAACCAGAAACTGCCTACTAAGCTATTGTCTACAAACTCACACACACATTAGGCTGTCATAAAGTAATTCTGTTCACACATACTAAAAACAATTAATTACTTTATAAAACAAACTTCACTTCAAGGAAAATTTAACATTTCATTGCTATTGTATATTTCTGAAAAGAATATATAAATGTTATTTCAACTGATGTTCTGCTTCAGAAAATAACCTTTTATATGTTTCATTTAAAAGATTTGTTGTTGTTGTTAAATATTTGGAATCCTGACACTCAGATAGCAACTAAAACCTGGGTAGACAGATCCCAACAACTTAAAAAAAAGACTTACTTTGTTATATTCATGTTGGGCTTTTGATAATAGTTGGATGATATCTACTGACCCTCGGATCTGGTGATCCATTGTGAGTTCATTCTTTACAATGGACATTTGATCATTTACTGTCTCACTGTCAGAAGCTTGACTGAGTTGTCAATTGGAATTTCGACTTGTGGTTTGCAATGGCCATCTGTAAAAGACTGAATGCACGTATATTTTTAAAAATAAACAATATAGATACATGAAAAGATTTGTCAGATATTTTCAAAACTAAAATGTAGCTAATTCTGAAATAGGGGCTTTAAAGTAATTGATATTGCTGACAATACACTGTTTATACTGTCCTCAGAACATGAGCATTTCATGGCAAAAGAGAGAAAAAAAATACTTAGATTAATTACAATATTTTGTTAATGAGGTTGAGTTGATTTTAAAATTAAATTAAAATCTTCCATAATTCAGAGTTTTATGAGATGTATTAACTTCTTTACGTTAAGCTCTTATTTGTTGACATAAGCTTCAGAAATAGAAATTCCATTATTCTAAACTCAATGCTTATTTAGAGTACAAATAGCATTTGATAGCAACAAAATGTTTATACTAATTTTGCACTAAATTCAGTTAACCTTTATTAATAGTTAACCTTAATTAAAGTCTTTGTCACTAATAAAAAAAAGCAAAAGCAAAAATAAAGAACATATAAAGAACATACTTTTGCATAAAAATCATAAAAGACTGGAGAAAATGTGTAGAGTAGATGTTCTCAACTTAGAGTGTTTCCATACCCTAGGGGTGTGAGATGAAATTTTTTGAGAGGGTTAAGGGTTAAGGACAGTCTATTGCCACAAATTCATTATTACCTATAATATCTACTGAATTTATTAATAAAAATGCTATTTTATTATAACCAATTAATCTTTAGCACTCTGCATTATTAATATTACTTTCCTTTCAACTGCATTCTTTTTCAAGGCCTCTCAATTGCAATATCCTTATTGTTAATTTCACTCAAAGTTGTTTTTTGTTGTCATAGCAGGATATGATAATACAACTATGAAATTCAAACACACTATTGTTCAGAGATCAGAGTCACCTTCAGTAGCAGGATAAACTTTGTACAGCAAATGAAATCATATATAGAGTGATAAAAGTTAATTTCTGAATTCAGTTCATTTTTATCAATGAAGATAAACTCTAAGAATTGCCTGAATTCACAGGCAGATCAACAGATCACAATTAGTTCTATGTATTGGCAAAAATATAAATCTGACTGTTCAATTTATAATTGCATGTGTGCCAAGTTAAAAGCTTATATTTGTTAAGTTCATTTTGCTCACCTGCAGTAATTTTTGTGGTTCAAAATTTATAAATTAGACTTCTTCCTAAAATGTAATTTTATGTTTTTAGGGATTACATTTAACATTAGTTAAACATTTCCTAGGGTTGTGGGACAAAAGAAAGTTGGGATGCCACTCTGGTCTAGAAGAAATTTGTGTTAGTACTTGCATATTCTCCACTGGATGGTTCTAAGAGTCCAGGATAAGCCAGGATTTTAAATATTGATATTCAAAGTAGAATCTTTATATTTAAAAGTCATAAAAACACAATCTTCTTCCATCTACATCCTTGCGCCAAACAAAACTGAGCTTTGTAACACTATTCAGTACTTAATGTCTGGATGTCATATGCGCCTATGACATGATTATGAAGTTCTATTGTAGCTAAAATTGTTAGCAAGCAAATTCAACAAAATTTTCAGAAAGCAATATTTTTCTTTTTTTTTTCTAATACTAAATTTCATCTAATACAAGGCTCGAGAAACACTCAAGGTAGAGGGTTAATGTTAAATTAGTTATGCTAAATGAGGTGAGATATGAGCAAAAGAGAAAGTGGAAGTGAAGATTATGAGGATAAGGAGAATAGATGACAACATAACACTTGACCTGAAGAGATTAAGACTGTAATGCTCAGGGAAGCATTCACATGGGAGTCTCTTCTAAAAAGAAGCAATTTTTCAGAAAAAACTGAGTAGAACTTTCTTTCTTACATTTAAAATATGGAAGAAATGAGGGTGATTCAACACTGTGGAAATAGTATGGTATGCATTAGCAGTAAAGATCTGAAATGGTGATACTAAAGAATAGAGTTCATTTGGACATTTGCCATGGAAATGGGGATAGAGCTTGCAACATTGCATCTGTGGGGAAAGAGGCTGAAGAGTGGAAAAAAAGTGTTAGCTGACAAGATTGTAGAAATAATTTTAAAATCTATCAAGGCAAGAAAGTAAAAATTGAGCAGCTCCAGATATAGCAGCAATACACCATTACTGTCTAATCTGACTGTAAAAATAAAACATGGCAGAAGAAATCAGGTACTTTCTGGAGCATTAGAATAAGCCAACAACTGTTCCAGCATTGTTAGGAATCAATCATTATATATATATATATATATAAAACTGCCCTTTCATGCAATTAGATATAAAAGATTTCTACCCATCTATTAATGAACATACACTAAGCAACACATTAAATTTAGTAAAACAAAACATCAATATCCTCAATTAGGATATAAATATAATTAAACACTGCCAAAAATCAATATTATACTACAATAAAAAATTTGAACAAAAAAGGGCCAAAATAATGATAATAATAACAACAACTTTGACATAACAATGGGTAGCAGAAGTATGTAAACTTATAAGTATATACATAATCAATAAATTAACAAATATTATTAACAAAAAAGATATAGGTCTATACAGGGACAACTAAGAAACTGCAATGGCAGAACTACAGAAAAAATAAAACCAGAAATAATAAAATCCTTCAAAACCCTAGGATTTACAATAGATATAAAATCAAATAAAAAAATAGTAAGTTTCTTAGATATAACATTCAGCATAAAGAACAAAACCTACAAACCATACAGAAAACCAAACAACAACCCAATATACATTAACAAAAATACTAACCACCCCTAATGTATTTAAACAAATACCCATATCTATAAAGAAGGGAATTTCAACAAATTCTAGTAGCCTAAAAATATTCAATGAAAATAAAAAAAACATTAATCAGCCCTAAGAAATAGCAGATATTCAAACTAGAATATAAAAACAAAAGTAATTCAAACAAAAGCAACAAAAAAAGTGTTATATAAGAATAAAGTGTCACTGCCGACACTTGAGTTTGAACATAGATCACCAGTGAGCAAACACAGGCAATCACATTATTGAATTAAGTAGACCACATGCCTATAGAGGAAATGTATATATGTAGGAAGTGACTGAACACTAATGATCGTTATTTCTAGTCGATCCTCTATTACTATACAGATTGCTATTCTCTACTCTGTTCCTTGTACTATTTCTCTATTAGGATCGCTATATGGGTTACTTGTTGAGTATATATTATTGAGTAAGTAATATTAGTGCAAGATTATTCGAAGCCATATGACACCAGTATTGTTCAATGGTGTACTATAGTTGTATCTGTGATTACAAAGTCTCTAGTGCAATGAGAATTACAAAAGTGATGAGTATTTGTTGACATCATAAAAGAAAGAAGTATAATTTGATTCACTTCCCCCACAACAATACAATAAAAACAAAAATAATTGACAAACACATCCCTAAAAACAGAAAATTATCAAAAGTTATCAACAATAATATAATCAAAATTAGTTACAACTGCATGAATAACATGGAGAAAATAATAACTGAGTACACTAAAAAAATACTCAACAAAATCCATAACAATTACAACAATAACATGCAGCAAAATAACACCATTAAATGTAACTGCAGAAACAAAGAAAATTGCCCACTTAACAAAAAATGTTTGACCAATAACATAATATACAAAGCTATCAGAGATAATTAACATTTACATAGGGATCACAGAAAAACTTTCAAAGAAAGATATTATAACCACAAAATGTCATTCAAAAGAAAATATACACAACAATACAACCCAATCAAAATACATATGAAGCCAAAAAGGAAATCATATCCCTACCAAAATCAAATGGGAAATTATAAAAAGAGTAGCTCCATATAGCATTAACAGTAAAAATTGTAAATTATGCTTAGAGGAAAAATTACCAATAATTAGTTTTACAAACAAAAATAAATCTCTTAAATAAGAAAATTGAAATAATGGGTAAATGTATAAATTAATATTTACTTTGCCATCTAAGCACTAACCAAAAATATAAAAATAAATATAAATAAAATACAAACTTTAAATAAATAAAAGAAACAAATATAAACTTAATTTATTATTAAATAAATAATTAAACATACACACGTGTGTGTGTGTGTACATATGGATATATACACATAAACACCAAAAAATGAACAAACCTATTCCCCCATAATTAATACCTTAATATATAACACCAAGGCAAAATCAAACTTAAGACTTAAGTGTACAATACATGTACCTGTGTACACATGTTTATTTGTACCTATGTATGTATACGCATACTTATATACATGCATCAATAGATGCACATGTGAGCATATACATAAGCATATTGAAACATATGCATATAAATTCTAACAATAATAAATAAATTTAATTATAAATCTAACCTCCAACAATTAATATTTATGATACCACCAAACCAAATTAAAAATCGAAATAATAGCCCAGTGAAGATATATAAATATATGTGTGCATGTATGTATATATATGTATATATATGCATAAATAAGTATTTACCATTTAAGCATTAATATCATTAGTATCATATATTATATTTATCATTTAAGCATTAATATCAATTATTTATATAAAAACCATAAAAAACGAAATAACTTCCCTAGCAAAAAAAACTATAATGCCCATAAATAAAAATTGGTCACATGTCTAGAGTTGGAACAAATACAGACAAAATCAACAACAGACGAATAAAAAGAGAAAAAAGGATAAAAATAGAGAAGGCTAAATGAGTAAGTGTAAAGTAAAAAAAAAGGAAAAAAACAAAGAAAAGCCAAAATGATCATGACCACCCAGATGGGTGCATGCAAGCAAATGCATATCCACAGAGATGGGCACACGGCCATATGCACACAAACACACACACGAACATCAAAAATACAGAAA